TTTGCGGTACGCGGGCCTCTCACTGTTGTGGCCTCTCCCGTTGCGGAGCACAGGCTCCGGACGCCCAGGCTCAGCGGCCATGGCTCACGGGCCCAGCCGCTCCGCGGCATGTGGGATCCTCCCGGACCGGGGCACGAACCCGTGTCCCCTGCATCGGCAGGCGGACTCTCAACCACTGCGCCACCAGGGAAGCCCTGGACAGCCTTTTTGATTTTAGTCATTTGAGTGGGTATATAGTAGTATCTTATTTTAATTTGCATTTTCCTGGTAACAAATGATGTTAAGCATCTTTTCATGTGCTTATTCACAGCCCATGCATCTTCTTTGGTGAAGTGCCTGTTCAGATCTTTTGCCCATTTTGTTAGTGGGCTGTTTTGTGTTCTTAGTAATGAGTCGTTGGAGTTCCTCATGTTACAAGATAAAATGAGGCATATTAAATTTCTGAGAGTTTACCTGAGCAAAAATCTGTTCGAATCAGACAATGCCAAACCCAAAGTGGGTAGGAGTGCTCCAGCGACAGGAGCTAGAGGAAGGACTTTTACAGAGAAGAGGTGGAAGCAAAGGAAGGAAATTATCTGATTGGCTGTAGCTTGAGTGGTTGTATTATCTGGAAAAGTCTGGGTGGCTGTTTGTGAGTGGCTGTCCTTTGGTTTGAGTTCTTAACCTTGAGGCATTAGAGGTTTTGGTTTGCTTAGGAGGCTCCTGAAGCATTCAAGTCATCTCAGTCTAATAGCCTCTTTGTTTACTTATTTTAACACGTATATTCTAGATATAGTCCTTTTTCTGTTGTATGTTTTACAAATATTTTCTTCTTGTCTATGGATTGTCTTTTAACTTTATTAACAGTACATTTGAAGAGCAAATGTTTTTTAAATGTGATGGAGTCCAGTTTATTCATCTGTGTTTAATAGTTTGTGCTTTTTATGTAGTACTTAAGAAATTGCCAAGCCCAGGGTCACTAAGAGTTTTTTCTTAAGTCTTCTAGAAGTTTTGTAGTTTTAGCTCTTACATAGTTTATGATCCACTTCACGTTAGTTTCTGTATATGGTGTGAGGTTAATGTCAGGGTTCATGTGTATGGCTATCCAATTGTTCTAGTACAATTCATTGGAAATATCCTTTCCATATTGAATTGTCTTGGCACCTTTGTTGAACATCAGTTGACCTAAATGTGTGGATATATTTCTGAATTCTCTGTTCTGTTTCACTGATATATGTGTCTATCTTAATGCCAATATTATGCTATATTCATTACTGTAGCTTTATAATAATGTCTTGACATAA